CAAATAACAAATTTTTATTTTACTTTTTTTTTGTCAAACTCCCAATTTTCATATCAACGGCTTTCATATGTTTTAAGATGTTGAAAACTGCTATTGAAAAAGTTTAATCTAGGCCTGCAAAAATGTTTAAGTAAACATTGGATACACATTCAGAAAACCAAAGAGAATTAATAATTAAAATATTACAAGATACAGCCAACTCTAAAATATTTTTTTACTTCAAAATATAATTTTTCTAAATTACATATGTGAAGTTGGCCATCCATATAGTTTATTAGTGTGTGAAATGTTAGTTGGTGTTTTCTCAAGTATCTCTAATTCATATTAATTTCTTTTTATTTTGTCTTCTATATTCAAAAGTATGTTATGAGAATGACAGAATGGTCTTTTTCTCTCACTTATAAACTTCTAGAGATCATTGTGAAATAATACTCTGACAAACTTTTGGGTTGATTTTTATAATTCCTTAGCAAATTCAGAAAACTTTCAAGTGGATGTTGATAAAGTAACTTTATCCTTATCTAAAAATTGTTTATCTATGACAATTCTCAGAAATGGAGCGTTTTCTCATTAAATTAATTAATTTAATCAGGTACTAAAAACTCATAACTATCCATTTGTTTTCCACTTGAATCGTAAGATAATTTTATCACAAAATGGAAAAAAAAAATTTGGTGGGTCCACTCACACGATTTTCTTACCTATTTCAGAAAAGTTTTTATATCTTTACATATATCCATTTTAGGCGTAGGGATGTGGCGGTCCCATCGCCCGGTCATTGTACCGCAACCAGCCACTGGCCCTCCAGGTTGGGGGAACACTTACACTTACACGAACACTCACACACCAAGTACACTTTATACAGCACACTACAACACCTAAACACTACAGACAAAGGTCACCTACAGTACACACCCTAGGGTCACCTTCCCTAGGTAGCCGCCCCGGATGGGGAAGCTAGTCAGGATGCTCGGAGAAGGCAGCCCCTCTACCTGACTCGGGGGCAGTGGGCTGATAACCCACCCCCCCCCCTAAAGTACCTTATTACGAAACCTCAAAGAGAAGAAGCCGGACAGAATTACGGTAACAGACCCAGGAAACGCCTAAATGACCTAAGAATTGGATTTTGGAACATTTTATCATTACATAGACTAGGAGCACTTCGTGCGCTCCTTGCAGAAGTGGACACATACAGAATCGACATAGCAGCTATCCAAGAGGTCCGATGAATAGGACAGGGAATTTTGGAGAAGAAGTACCATACACTCTACTATAGCTGCCATGAAAAGCATCACATCTTCGGTACCGGATTTGTTGTGAGAGGCAGAGCTCGACAGCTAGTGATGCGATTTACTCCCATTAACCGAAGGTTATGCTACATTCGGCTTAGAGGAAAATTTTTTAATTTCTCTCTAATCCTTCAAGCAGTATAAGTGAAAAATGAAGCCTACAGAAAGAAGGTTCAGCGTCCCACAAGGCTCTCCCAAGAAACATATCGAAGAAAAAGGCGCGAAGAGAAGAGATTATTCCGCGGAAAGAGAAGAGCTTGGGAAAATAAGAACATGGAGGACACAGAGGCATTGCGCGGCCAAAATGAAAGTCGGCTATTCTTTCAGAGAATAAAGGGGGGTAGGGCAGCTTTCAGGCCCAGAGTGACGGCATGCAAAGTCACGAATGGAACTCTTTTAAGCCACAAAGATGACGTACTAAGGAGATGGGTACAACATTTCAAAGACGCATTAAACAGAGGAACGGTGCCTGGAGAAGTAGGAGTTATGAAGGAAGACTCCCTGAATTCTATTGAACCCCCGAATGAGGAGGAAATGGAAAACGCCCTGATGAAATTGAAAAATGGAAAGGCGCCAGGCCCGGACGGAATCCAGTCAGAGCTGTTGAAATGTGGTGGTGAAGAACTCAAGAAAGCTCTGCATGATTTAATGCTGACCATCTGGGAGAGGGAAGCTATGCCTACGGAATGGGCAACAGCCATTATCTGCCCAATACATAAGAAAGGAGATCAAACAGAATGCGCTAACTATCGAGGAATCTAACTCCTTTCGTGTGCTTATAAGCTGCTCTCTAACATTCTTTTTGAGAGGATCCTCCCGTATTCTGAAAAGGAACTGGGGAAATATCAGGCTGGATTTCGAAGAGGACGCTCAACCACTGATCAACTGCTCTCTCTGAGGATGATCCTAGAAAAGACTATGGAGCGTAAGGTAGTCACCCACCATTTATTCCTAGACTTTAAAGCAGCATACGACAGCGTTGATAGAACGCAACTATACTGTGCCTTGGAGGAGCTAAGCATCCCTCAGAAGCTCGTACGCCTAATCAAGATGACCATGGACAGCTCGAGATGTATAATACGCGTCGTTTCTGACGACTCCGAAGAGTTTAAAGTGAGCAGTGGGGTTAGGCAAGGGGATGCCCTCGCCTGTCTATTGTTCAACTTGGCAGAGGAGAAAGCTGTAAGAGACTCCGGTATTCAGACCAACGATATAATCTTCAATCGCCTGACACAGCTTCTTGGTTTTGCTGATGATATTGACATAATAGGTAGGTCTGAACGGGCTCTCAGAGAAGCGTTTATAGGCCTTGAAACAGCTGCAAGACCACTTGGTCTAGAAGTCAACGAGAGGAAAACTAAGTATATGAGAGTTGGTGGTGAGGTGGATCTGAACTCTCCATTTGAGGTAGGTTCTTTTAAGTTTGAGAGAGTGAAAAGTTTTATATACCTTGGGTCTGAAATTAATAGCAAAAATGACATGGCTCAAGAAATACAAAGAAGGATCACGGCTGCCAACGGATGTGTCTTTGGACTTGGCCGACACTTAAGAAGTATGTACCTCTCAAAGAAGACCAAGCTGATCATATACAAGACCCTTGTTCGGCCTGTTTTGACATATGGCTCAGAGGCTTGGACGATGACTAAAAACGATCTGAGTGTGTTTGAGCGAGGAGTCCTCAGAAGGATTTATGGTCCAGTAAAGGAGGGTGATGTCTGAAGGAAAAGAAAAATAGGGAGCTCAGTTCTCTCTATGCAGACATCGACGTAGTCACGTATATTAAACTGGCCAGACTAAGGTGGGCAGGGCATGTGGCCAGAATGAGCACCGTTGAAATACCAAAGAAAATAATGATGGAGGAGCTGCACCTCGTAAGACGGGTAGGAAGGCCGAGGACGAGATGGTTGGACAACGTGGCCTATGATGCGAGAACCCTGCTTGGTGTACGGAACTCGAGAGCTGCAGCAGAAGACAGAGCCAACTGGCGGAGGCTCTTGGAGGAGGCCCAGTCTCGGTAACGGGATGTCGTGCCACATATGATGATGATGATGACATATATCCATTAGGAAACAAAAAAAAAAAAAAAGAAAGAAAACAATTCAATTACATTTATTTTCCTGAAAATTGAAAAAAAAAAAAAAATTGAGTAAGATTTATTTGATAAACTAAAGCAATATAAACCTGCTTAAGGTAGATAGGTAAAAATTTCAATAGCCTCTAATATTGCTGATCAAAAACTTTTTGACATAGCCTAATTTTGACAAACAATAATTTCTGTTAAAAGTAGAGGCAATAGTGAAGCTTGTGTGATGCAGGCAACAGATTTTCTTACTTACACTTAGTTATCATTTTTCTCTCATTCACCCAATTATGACACCAGGATATGAACCTGTAATCTTATATTGGAAACTAAATAGCTGTAACTTCGTTAATATTTGTCCGAAATGAACAATTTTTATATAGTTTAGTAGGGAATTTTATAACCATTCAAAAAAAAAAAAAAAAAATAGTAATCTATACCAAAAAAGTGATCTATACAACGGGCTAAAAATTCTTCCAATACAAAACCGAATTAATAAGAAAAACAATAATTTACTGAAACAATCTATAATAAAACAAAAAAAAACGGTGTTCTCAGGGGGCTCTGAAACGTATAGATCCGTCTAAAACCGCATATCGGGAATTTCACACGATCCCAATACTTTCTTTTCCTGGCATAGGTAGGATAGTAAAAAACGTAGCCTACAAAAATATTGGACCTTTTGGCCTAATGTAGGGGTGGAGGTCAAACTGCCCAATAAATTTTCGATTTTTCCAACTTTTCTATCGATTTTGTGAACGAATTATCTTACTATTCAAGTGGAAAGCAAATGGATGTTCATGAGTTTTTAGCACCTAATTTAATAGACAAAGTCTGCCGATATCCAGATTGAAAAAGTCCCGATTCCGTAAATATTTGTAAATAAAAAAGTAATACTTTACGACAAGATGAAGATATATTCACGAAGTTTTAGAGGGATGTTAATAATTTGATAAAAGTGATCTATACCACGGGAGATCACTTTTGATAAAAGTGATCTATACCAATATCGAATTAATAAGAAAAATAATATTTTACTAAAAGATTTTATCATAAAGCAAAAACCATTAGGAATCCCGTACAATTTACGGTTCGTGGATGTTTTACATTATTACAGCTACACAGTACCGGCCTTAGACAATCGGCGCCCCCAGGCGATGACGTCATCTCCGTCCCCCTAAAAAAATATAATTTATTTCTTAAGCCGTTTTATAGTATACAGTATTTGAATTTTATTCATTTAATATTTTCATAATATAGTTGCTTTATTAACAGACTAAAATTAATTATTTTAATATGTTGATGATGTAGAGATGGTTGGCCGTTGATATAATATGAGAAGGAGTTAGTCGAGGGTGCGGTCAAATAAATAAAAAAATTAAAATATATAAATTATTTTAATTTTTGCCGACGTTTCGACCCACTTTGCAAGTCGTCTTCAGGGCGTAGGATGTGGCACTGCGGGAGGCAGTTGAAACCAACTGTCCAGTGCCAAGTTCCAGTTGAAAGTTGTGGTAACTCCTAACTCGACTAACTCCTTCTCATACTTTAATATGTTTTTTTTTTTAAATTTCTGTGCTCCTGATAAGGGCGTCCCCAACAGGTAAAACTGCCTCGGTAGTTTTAAGTCCACCCTAAGGCCGGCACAGCAGCTACCAGATAATTATATGAACAAACAAACTTGACTTTAGCTGAAGAATACCGAAAAAATAAAACATACTGCTAGAGTTGTCCTGTGGGCAGCGTCACACATGATGAACTGAATAGTCATGCAAAACAAAGACGTGAAAAGAAATGCAAAGAAGGACTTTGTGAAGGAATGGTCGATTCCCAGAGAAAGAAAGCCGTAGGTGGTGAGGACAAATGTGGTGAAGATGAGGACGCAGACTGCCAGCCCCGTTCTGCCACAGCTCTCGCCAAGGGTGGTTGTCAAGTTGGACAGCTTCTGCCAGAGGATCCGGCTCTGGTACATGTTCCGGCAACCCGCCTGGCAAAAAAATAAAAACATTATTCCTTCTTTCAAAAGATAATGAATTTAAAAAAAATAAATAGAATATTTTAAATGGGGAGCTCATGGGAAACATCAAATTCTAGTCCTCGGCTGGTTTTTAAACATCTGCTTGGTATTTTTTTCGAAATAGGAAAGGATTTCTAGAAAGTGCTCTTCTGCTATCCTCATTACTAGACATTTTTTTTAATTCATACTAGAATATTACAATAAATTTGCCATCTACTTCTGTATTCAACAAACATCATGTTTGTCTTCAAAAAAATATTATTTATATATTTTTCGCTACTCTCCGTTACCTTATACAACTTTATATATTATTTATTGTTTTGTTGTTTTTTAATTAGCCGTTTCCCAGCGATATATTATACGTATACCTTCTGACTATTATTTCCCGTTAGTCATTTTCGGCCTGAATAAGGCCTTTTCTTTTTTTCTCCTTTATTAAATCATGAAATTTTTTCAAAAGTTATATTTAGCATTTTTTCATAACTTTTAACAATGAGAAATAGTTAATTATTTATAATAAACTAAATCAAAGGTAATTTAAACAAAGACGTATTCAAACATCGGGCATTTAAGACCTATAAAGTGGCATCAATGGGGATAAGACGTAATTGATAATAAAGACCACTTAATTATAGAATGATACACCGAGTCTAATCAAATTCGTTAGAGCCGTTGTTGAGAAAATTGTAAAAATGTGTTTCAGCGTTGATATAATGTGGCACTTCCAGTTATCCGATTTTAAGGAAAAAGTTGCTAGGACATCTAAGGCATATACCTATCTAAAATACGTATTATCAGTTTTGTACGACTTTTCGTTTTCGAGCTAGACTGTTCACAGACACAGACCATTTTCCGGGAATTTGTTATTTGGACTAAGGTACCTCAAAACGTAAATTTTCGTTCAAAACTCAGATTCAAAAATTTTCACGATCACAATACTTACACTTACTGTATAACACATATAGGTAAGTGAAAGTAAGAAGGAGTGAAATGAAAATAAGACAACATAATAACTCAAAAGCAAAAGATAACACAGCAAGTAGCTCAATGCAGTAAGTGCATGGCCAGCACATCAGCTGTCTTCTGGGCGGATCACATGGATTTCTGCCAGTAGATAGAACTTGAGTAAGTGGATTTGAATTTACAGTCAGCCTGTCATGAAAATTATTAAAGAGGTTTGTGGCAGTTGCAGTGATGATAGGAGTGTCAAGGTGTAAGGTAAGATTTGAAACATAAAAGAGTGCGTCTACAATTTTTCCGGAGGACTTTCGACTGAAATGACTGAATTATTTTTATATTTGATGTCTTTGCTGTTCCTCATTGCTCAATATCAAACGTCCAAAGCGATTTAATGAGGACTTTGTAAATAGTTATTTACTAGTCACCGATAATTTAGAATGTTTATCATGTAGTCCACTAACGGATCCACAATTTAATTTTTGGGGGGGCTTCAGCCCGAAAGATTTTTTGTTGTACAAATACATTAGGATAATGACTTCGGAAGAAAGAAAGAAACTAACTACCTATATGAAATGGTCTTTAAGTAATTGTTGAAGTCCTATTAACTGTAACTAGACGAACAGTAATACTTTTAAAGATATATTTTTTTTTTTTATAAAACAGTTATATTTTATCATTTGGGAGGAGGCTTCAGCCCGAAAGCCTCCTTTCTCCTGTAGATCCGCCAGTGATGTAGCATAGAAAGAACTCCATATCGCTGATTAAGTTCTTTTCTTTTTTGTTTTATGTGGTATGTCCATGTCTGTCGTTTGTCCCAAGTATATACCCAAATATTGTACAGTTTTTGAACAGGTATAGTGTACAGTTAAATAATACTTGAAGGGTGTTGGGAAATTATTAGAAATAATGAATTTCTTAATCAGTAATAAAACAAAAAAAAATCTTTCCCATCGCTGCTCTCGTATATGCTTTTATCACTTCAGCATTTTTTGTCAGTTTTCTATTAAGGTCCTGAAAATTTGTCAATGATGATTAGTGTTCACTTTTTAATAAACGACTGATTTAGTTGATGAAAAAATTATGATTTATTTTGTCTGGTTTTCGTTTTAACTCTCTCAACATTTTATTACTTATCCATTTAATAAAAATTCGGTGGAATAGTTGACATTACTCACGCCAATGATTTTCTTCATCAATTTATCAGAGGCAGCCCTCAGTTCGTACAGGGTGATACACCAGAACAGTAAAGTAGCGCTGAGTGAGCCCACTGCAGTGACACAAGGTGAGAATACGATGAACCTGAAGTCGTTGAAGAGATACGCCCCTCCGACCAGCATCGAGATCAGAATGGGTAAGTGGATTATGCATGCTGTTTTGATGAGACCTGTCAAAGCGAAATCCAGGTCGTCCCTGCCGAATTCTTCCTGAATAAAATATAAATATACATGTTTCTGTCCGATATTTTACTCAGCCGTATTACAAATAAATGAGCAGGTATACCTGAAAATAATACCAGTCTTCGAAATATCTGAGCAAATCGGATGACTCCCACCAATATGTGATTGGAATTGCTAAGCTTTGAAATAATGAAACTGTCAGAGCTAAGCCGTAAAGACTATCGTCGAAATTTCCTCGTTTTGAAATTTCATTTAGAACGGTTTCAAGAATGAAGCATGTCCCCAGAACCTGGAGCACAACTATGAAGACCGTGTACCAAACAGGCCACGACAGCGATCTGAATATGACTCGCCCTGAAAATAAAACAATATTTTAATCTTTCGTAAAATATCATGTTAATGCATATCAGATTTCTGGAGAAACTCATTGCAAAATATAACAAAAAAAAAATGACTTCAATATAAATCGAGGAAACTTCAAAACCCTTTATAAATCAACTACACATCATTGCATTTTTATCTTATTTTATACATTTAATTACGTTCGCCTATTTTCAAGTCTTATAAACATTTCTATAACATAAATAACAATATATAAAAAAACAGTGCCGGTCTTAGGATGGAGCAGCCGGGACATATGCCCTTGTGGAGGGGCCTCCTTGAGGCGCCAGCCGATCTTCAGGGGCGCGCGTCACTACAAACCTAATAGAATAATTTATTTTATCATATCAATAGAGCAACTGTATTATAGTTATGTTGACAGAAATAATTTCAAATATTAAGTTATATAAAACAGCTTAAGAAATAAATTTAGTTGTTTCAGATGGGAGATGACGTCATTGCCCGGGGCGGCGAATGTCTAAGGCCGGCACCTTATAAAAAATTATCAGCTCATAAACAATACATATATATATTTTAAAACACTACCAGTGAATACATCTTATAGGTGGGCGGGGTGGCCGAATGGGCTAACGCGTGTGCACTGAACCTCCATTGCCCGGCAACCTGATACATAAGACTTAGATAAAAAAATAGTCACGAATTCGCATCCCGGTGTCCGGAGGAGTTTTAAAATTCCCGCCCACACTCCCTGGCCCGGGAAAACCCCCGTATAGCCTTAAAGGCGAGGAAGGGGAGGACAAAAAAAAAATAAATAAATAAAAGAATACATCTTATACCTAACATAATTACGTAATCTAATAAAAATTATTTATAGTTCTTTCATATTCTTTTAAAAGTTTTATTTAACTTTTACCATATTCTAAAATTCAAAGGCAAAATACAAAAAATAAATAATGACTGAGCAACATATATTGCATATTCAATTTGAAAAACATATTGTGCATGATTAAATTATTAGAAGAAATGACCTCGGGTCAACAAGTCAAAATGAAACGAATGGCTTTGAACAAGCGACTAAAAATACTATACCCACTTTTTTCCTTTATGACAGGTGCGGATGAAAATATGAAAAAAATAAAAAAATTCTTAGGTTTGTCAAAAAATAATTTAAAATTCATTAAAATGTCTAATAAAAAAAATTATCGTCTTCTTTTTTATTTAGTTTGATAGCAATTCTTGTGTTAACTTATTTAAACAGTACAGTTAATTATTTTATGTGAAAAAATGTTTTGTATGTATGTATTTAATGAAACATCGATTTTCTATTTGAATAAATTTCTTAGTTTTTTTCGTGGATTTCCATGAGAATCTACGCATAATACTTCAAAAAATATGAGTACAGATTGCAACGTGTATCTTTGCTGATTCAGGTCCGATCTAGACTTTGTTTTTAAATAGAGAATTTTCATAAGTTCCAAATGATTGTATACATAATTATTTATAAAATTTATTCTGCTTGACTTTTGTGCTTATTTTTTATCGGAGATACGCAATACATGAACCGATCAAGACTTTAAGAAGAGGAATTGAGGCGTTTTATCAAAATCGTTGGATCCGTTTTGACGCTATGAACTATAGGAAACAACATTTTTGGAATATTTTGCAGTAGGTATTGCTGTTATTGTCCCATTTGGTCACAGGCATTTGGGGCCCATATCCTAAAAACGATAATAATTTCTTTATATTTCGGTTCTGGAAATATTTCTTGAAAATTGGATACCGAAAATTTGATCTGATTATAATAACTTTCTTACCAAGGTGGCAAGTAAATTAAAAATAATTAGAAATTGGAACTTTATAGAATTTTAAAACTTCTTCAGGCGCATTTTACACTTTATTTGTGCACAGTGAATTAGATTGAGCTGTCAGATCTCCGATGTGTAACGCTAGGGTAAAGTCGGCAAAAGTGGATTAATTGAAGTGTTTTTGCATATGGATTAAAATATCTCAAAAACTAAAATGTTCATTTCTTTATAACATTATAAATAAATTAATATATTTAAAAAACACAATATAATTAAAAACAAACAATGAAACATACCGTTCTCGAAAAGGAATGGAAATCTTCCAAATCCTCTTAAGATGAGGAGCAATGGTTTTATTTCTTGTAGATATTTGTTCGTTCGCACCAGCTTTTCTTTTTGAGATATGTATGGATGATTCACGTATATCTTAAAATAGTAAAATAAAACAATAAGAAAATGTAAATTTGTTTTTTAAATGAGTGATTTTTCAGATTAAAAACTGACTCTTTATTAATTAAAAATGATAAACATTACATTAACCTATTTTTAGATTTTTACTGTAAACAACGTAATAAATTTATAACGCTTCTTTAAATTAAAAACATAAATCGTAAAAAAAAAACTATTAGGGATAAAATTTTAGCCCCTCATTGCAACATAATAAGAGAACGTTTTCCTAAAATTTGTTATTGTTTCCCTTCTGAAATAATTCAGAATTTGAAATACTCAAATTTAGAAAACATTTAGCTACATTTAAAAAAAAAAATAGAACTAATAGAGTATCGATGATAAAATTTAACCACAATAAAATAATCTATATTAAAAGCGGGCAATTCCTGAAATATTTGATATTTAAAATACCTGATATTTGGAAAAATTCACATTTGTACAGGGTGGGCACTAGATCTAAAAAAATAATGAATAACTTTTTTCAACTCTCTGAATACAGCACAAATATAGATCAACAAATCAATAAATTTATTTTGTCAGCAATATTTTAAAATGAAATCGAATCATTTTATATGAATTTGTCCTTTAGTAATAACATTTAAACAAATAGTAAAATTTTAATATTTATCGAATTAAAATTAAGAATGATAACAATATACATATGATGAAAATAAAGTCTTAAGCTAAGTGAATTTATATATAAGTACACTAGCTGTCCTCTTCATTTCAGAACGTGTTAAGAATTCTGTAAGGATACTGTTAAGGATACTCATGCCTGCTGCCTCTCTTATAGATTTTTCTTATTTGATCAGTGAATTAAATTGAACTATCGATTTCATGTCAGCTATAAAGAAAATCGTCTTCGGTAAATGTGCCAACATGCAGGCCTTCACCTTAATCCTACTACAATATATTAGTAGATAACACATTTCAACTAGTCAGAATAAAAGTTCTTAATCTCATACTTGAATAACTTTCAGAAATATACTGTTAAGTGTATACGTACTAAAACTAATAATAATAATATGATTTATTTATTGTATGACAAAGCCCTTTACAATAATATAGAATAACAAACAGCGGGCTTTAGAGCCTCAGGTCTTCGATAGAAAATAATACGAATAAATAAACAAACAGGAATAATAAAAATATATAAGCTAACTTCTAAACTTAATAAATTAATGAAAATTAATTGAATAGGCGGGATTTAAAGGTGGGTAGGTTATCGGGGCGATATATTTAGGAAGGGATGGAGTTGATGGAGAGACAAGAATCGAATAATGAAAGATCTGTCGAAAGCTGCGGTTTGGTAGGCCTGTGTATACAATTCTGAAGATCCAGAACGAGTGTTACGGGATTTGAATTGAAGGAGCTTGGAGATTTTTGATGGATGGTGGGGTTGGATAATTTGGAAGTGGAAGGATGCCAGGAAATATCTACGACGGTAGGAAGGATAAAGTCACTTCGATTCTTCTTAAAAATGGGATACAGAGACGTCCCTCGGGACCCAAAGATGAATCGTTCAAAGCAATTTATCAAATCTTTTAGTTTAACTCGAGATCCTAAGAGAAGCATGCATTTTTTGCAATTTATAATTTATACATATTTAATAAAGCATTTCTCATTCATTCAAATACCAGTCAAAGTGGAGAAATACTGAGGAAGTGATCATAGTGTATAGTAATAGTGTTATGTATGGTTATTATAATATGGTGTATGATAAAAAAAAAGACAGTAAGTATTTTAATCCTATTTAATAATTAATAATCCCTTTAGAGCATTCTCTAAGCTTGTTGAATCTCTTTCGACTTCTTCAAAAAAAAAGCCTCAGTTTAGTTATTTGTTTCAAAGAAGAAACATGACATTGCCCTAAGAAATTCTCGTAATTTTAAAACATTTTGAAAAAACAAATTCACAGTCGCTGAAGCAACTTGTGAAATTATGAAATGTGATGGGGAAGGTGTCCTTGATCAGAGCACTGCGCGGAGTTGGTTTGAAAAATTTAGCAGTGAAGATACGACGTTGGAAGAAGGGCTCCGGGCGACTATTAATGGATATTGATAAGTGTATTAGGAAGCTGTTGAGTCAAATCCGTTCACAAGTTCTCGCGAACTTGCCAGAGAGTGTGGTGTGTCGAAAAATACTGTTAGTCGACATCTACTCTCCATGGGAAAGGTGAAAAAGAGTAGTAGACTGGTTCCTCACGAACTAACTCCTCAGCAATCACCTCACAATTCCCGTCGAACCACAGATGTTTAAAGAACTTCCTATGGGTTCGAACTCCTGCTTCATCCACCATATATTCCAGGCTTCACAACATCGGATTATTACTTATTTAGATACATGGCCCATTTTTTTCAAAGAAAAAAAATTTGATGATTTTGCGAAAGTTCTTTGACAACAATGCTAAAGAATGGTATCAGCGTGGGATCGAGCAATTGGCTAGCAGGTAGCTAATGACGGTAGATAACAATGGAATATACTTTGAGTATTAATTATATTTTATATCAAAGAAATAATAATACAAATATTTGATTGAAAAACGGTCATTTTTTTATACACCCTACTACATAATGTATAAAAAGCATGCTGAGAAGAGTGGCCAACTTTGAATGATTTTTTTTTTTTTTTAACTTTTTTTTGAGAAATAATACATTTTGCCACATTTAAGGGCACTGAGTACTAAAGCTGAATGAGGCCCATTCATACTATATACAATGCAATAAAAAATAAAAAAATAAATATATATATCTATATAACAAAGGTAAAAACTATAAAACCAAAGAAATGTAACTTGAAATCAAATAATAAAAAATAAATAAATAAAAAATACAGAAATTGGTAGCAAATTAAATAAGTCATAAGTAAAACAAATAAATATATAAAAAAGAAAAACATTCATACTTAATATATAAAAAAAAAAATTCATATTTAATATATAAAAAAGAAAAACATTCATACTTAATTTTTGAATGAAATTAAATTTTTAGAAATTGAATTTTTAGAATTAATTAAATTAAAATTATTAAAAACAGCTCAGTTAAACAAAAATAAATATAATAATTGTAATGATCGATACTGCAATGATTGTTATTGGAGAGAGCAGCTGCTGGTAGGAGCACTTTTAACAGTCATGCCTGTGGTCACCATTAACAATTTTAAAGTTAATTTGCTCCCATAACTTTTGAGGAAACGAACAGCTATTATATCAGTAACTAAATAAGGAACAAACTGAACAGGTCAGGGATTTCACATTTTCATAATTTTTCTATAACTTACATTTAACAATAATTTGTACGTTGGTCCTCGCATAAGTGTATCACTTTATTGTTGGTAGCTCATTTTAATTTATAATAAGTAAGTTATCTCTACTATTTTTATTTATTTATTGTTTATGTTTCGAGTCTTAATTGGTACCATGCATTATGTGATCACTGTACATTTGTACAAAATTTGAATTAAATATTTTTCAATACTGTTAAATTATCCAGATCAAAGAGTGTTTTTCATTACTTAAATTACATGGTCTGAGGAAAGGCAAGGTTTTCTAGATAATGTTTCCCTTTAGGGACTGATCTTTGATGGATATCTCCAAGAAGCATCAGCCCGAAGAGGTCCTTCGTTGGACTTAAAGTGAAGTAAATAAGTAAAGAGGGCAGTAAACCGGCCAAAGGCAGGATAAATCATTAGTTAACGGACCTTTTATATCTAGAACTAAGTGGCTTCTAGGTTCTAAAAGGAAATATCTCCGAGTGATAATTGGAATTCAAATAGGTCACGGCAGATTTAAAAAAAATTTAGATGTTTGTATGATAGGTGAGGATTAAACCTAATTTTAAGTAGTTGACATAATAAGATAAATAGGTACCACTTGTTATGAATGAAACTTTACAGGTTGAGGATCTGAAATAGCAAAGAATAGAAAAACTATTCTATCTACTCGCGCAATTGCACATAACTGGGCGTTTATGTGCCTCGCCTAACACCAACATACTTTTGAATACTATGAACTCTTACAGATTATGTTATGTAGTAATAAAATATGTACTAAACATTAAAAGGAGCTATAGAAAAATGGCATTATAGAAACACAAGTTTTCTTCTGCAATACCTTTTATGTTTGCTTGTCTTTTATTCATAAAGACAGTATATGCATTATTTTTTAAATACACGTATATTCAAAATTGAACACTATCCATTGGACTCGACAGAATGCTGTCCGTTGCCAAGGAGAACGAACATGCGCTGTAAATGCCAAGCCAGAACTTGGTGTATACTGGCCACAGCCAGTGCCCAGTACGGAGGTAAGGCAGTTATTTCAATTCAATACATACCACAGCACACATTAAATTACTATTATGGACATTATATATATATATATATATATATATATATATATATATATATATATATATATATATAATATGTATTGCACTTTGCTTACGCCTTCCAAAGATGAAGCACGCAAATAAATGTGTGTTTGGCTGGTTGTGATTGCTTCAACTGCCGTGTTTATTTAAAATTACTCCACCATTACTAAACAGAATTATGGAAAGTCATATTTTCAAATGTGGGATCTGAGAATATTAGAGTGGTTTCAATTCTACTTTTATTTATCTCACATTCTGGAAGGAAGTTAATTTTTTTTTAAGAAGAATCAAATAACAACCAATATGTACCTATCATAAAAGTGAGGCGATCATCATATTAGAACGATGTACTTATTGGATGATTCTTAATTGGCTTCAGAAGGAATATAATAGAAATTTTACATTAAATTAGAACTTTCAAATTTTACAATAAATACACAATTATTAGACTATTAACATCGTGAGATCATTAATATTTTGTTGTTGAGTCATAAGGAAGATTATTTTTTTGTCACATTTTTATATCTCTCTACTATATCAAAAAGTTTTTAGTGACTTTCATATTTTATTTTATTTTGGTATTAGTAGTGGAGGATATAACAGGAGCTTAACTTATTGAAAATATGCAGCTGTTTATTTAAATATATATGTGTTGAGCTCCTGTAAACTAATACTCTCCTAATTCAAAATAAAGATTTTAGACTAAAAATTTGTTCGTCAAATGGTATTTTAAACTGGAGCTGGTAGTTAGATTTCACCTAGGTGACAGCAGTTATTTTTCGATCTAGACATTTCCCCTTTAATAAAATATATTAATTATTATATAAATTATTATTTATATTAATTATATTGTGATGTTATTATAATTATTATGAAATAGAAATGGAAGCACAATATAACGTGCAATGGCAATATTAGAAATAAAAGGCTCAAATTATTGTAGGGCATATTATGGTTATAAATTGATAATAAGGCGCGATGTATAATATAAATTTTTAAAGAAATTAAAAAATTTTTCGAATTGTGGTTTCGTTCAATTTTTTTTTTTTTTATGTTGATGAAAATAATACAATCTGAACGACAGAATACATGTAAATTAAAGTTATACAATTTAAGCAACGAGCAGTACAATTAAATGAACAGTTGTATAATTTGTAAAATGGGGGTTGCTCCGCCGTTAGGCGAACAGTGATACTAGCGGATCCAGGATTTAATTTTTGGGGGACGGAGGGCTTTACCCCAGAAGTTTTTTTTTTCATATATATAACAATTATTACTTTAGAAAAACAGAAAGATACTAACTACCTATATGAAATGGTGTTCGAGCTATTCTTGAAGTCAAATTAAATGTAATTAAACGAGCAATAATGCTTTAATACATCATTTTTTAATATTTTTTACAATAAAACATGGTTACATTTACCATTTTGGGGGAGGGGGACTTCAGCCCGAAAGCCCTCCCTCCCATAAATCCGCCTGTGGACAGTGGGTACCCTCCTAACACATCATTAATTTTTTTTCAAACAGAATGTAACTTATGAATTAAAAATAAATAAATAAAAAGAGCAATGCAATCATAAAACCGCTTATTTGAAGAAAACTCACGAAAAACATCAATCGACTTAACTACCACCGATTTAAATCTCGAATAATCTTGCCCAAATGCGGGAGATCTTGCGCACTCAGTCTTGATTTTGGTCTTGCTCTTGTGCAAGAGTCTCGCAACAGTCTTATAGCTACCTATCAGCTTATTACTAGAGATATCACTGTAGTTTTTTACGTAGGAGAAACCTAACGAAGCCCGAATAAACATTGGAAGAGTTAAATACAAAAGTATATAGATTATAGACCAATTTTTCGCAGTTCAAGTGAGTTTCTGAAACCTCTCATTTTCCCATCTTTTTGGATTTCCAAATATTACAGATGTGACAAATTCTTTTGCTTCCCCCTAGCAATTCCTTGCAGTAAAGGTCCAAAATATTATTATCATCAACTTGTTCTCCATTGATATTTTTGTACACATTCAAGGATTTCAGTCTAGTAGTAAACCAACTTTTCGGATTTAGTTTTTAAAAACAGTAATTATCATTAAAATATATAATAATATAACATTAAAATAAGCTTAAATCACCATTACTTTAAAAGCTTTAAATTACACCACACTTAAAACAGTTTAAGTACTCACATTGAAAGTTACCGAACATTGATTAATAAAGAAAAACTTTGTTTTAGTGTTCATATTACATATTAATAAAAATATTGTTTATTAATAAAAAACATGATGATCTAATTTAAAACTAATAAGCTTTGTTTGAGAAAAAAAAAATAAATATGGAGGACCTACAGTTCGTATGTTCATTTAATATGGCTATGAAATGAAGAACGGTGAGATCTGTAGAATACTTTTTAATATAATCATTTCCTATATCATCAATTGATAGTATGGACATTTTAATGTTTATTTTAATTTATGTACAGACGATAAGGGAAAATGGAAGCCCGTAACCTTGGGTTTGAGATAACGAAGTAAAATCGGTCTACACTTCACTAAGGAACATGCTGTAAAATATCTATATAAATAAATAAAACGACCATACTTCAGTCCAAAACGGCAATGGGATAACAAAACGAAAATTTAGTCGTATCTGAACTAAATGTAATTAATCGATTAACTTATTGTGCATGGTAAGATATGAACAATTGGGTCTTAAAATGTGTGATTATGATAACTCAAGATTTATTAACGATTTATCATCATTTACCAAATTCACGGATATCTTTCTATAGATAAACGGATA